AGAGCCGTGACAGGATCGAGAGGTGAGCGAACGCCGGTATGTGTTCATTCACCTCCCGATCTACTGAGCCGACCTGTGACAGTTTCATTGTCACAGGTCGGCTAGAACTATGAGGTGAGTGAAAAGCACTAGCCTCATAGTTCTCCTTTAATGATTAAAAAAAGAGTGGGAACTAATCGATCTAAATACCACAGCTCAGAAATGGACTCCCACCGACCAGACTCAGAGATTGCCGCCAGGCCCTAGACCGCAAGGTCATTTTAGCCATAAGGTGGCTCTGGCCTCTGCGACCTACTGTCAAGGGTTTTTCTCTCCTTACAGATACCTTGTTAGTAGAGCTGCAACAGTTAATCGATTTAGTCGATTAAAATCGACGATTGAAAACGTTACCAACGTTTTCGATCGTCGATTCGTCGGCTATCGATTGATTTCCCTGTTCGGGGCTCTACACGCGGCCTGAAGCACACGCTGCTCACGTCCCGCTGAATTGCTCCCGTGATGGACTACAATCTCACCACAAACTAGTAGTCCATCACTGGAGCCTTTTTTTTTTATCCGATTAATCGAACTTAATAATCGGCCAACTAATCGATTATGAAAATAATCGTTAGCTGCAGCCCTACTTGTTAGTAAATATTTCAGATGACAAATTGTAAATATAATGACTGAAGGCTATTTAATATAGAATGTTGAAACTGTTCTGATACATATGAAGATATTGCCATTTAAGCAAGCATTCTTCAGCATAATAATCTTAGAGAACAACTCCGGGCAAAATTATTCTAAACCTTTGCAGTGAGGCTACCCCCCCCCCCCACACACACACACCCAATATTGAAAAAGTTGACAACTTTTTCAATAATCGATTATAATCGATTATGTCGATTAGTTGTTGCAGCCCTAGTCCTCACATCCAATACAAGGCTCAGGGACCAGTCTAACAGCCATGCACCTCCAGGGTTCAGGTGAGGATAACTTTTTTTTAATTTCTGTCCCTAGACCAAAATGAGCACTTGCAGTGCAAGAATAATTCCAGTATAAGAATAATTCTGCCTGAAGTTGTTCTTAAGTTTATTCTTTAAGATGATTTATGCCTAGGGACCTGTGTAAAGTACTTTTACTAACCTTGCCATCAATTCCCTGGCAGTCAGCATTCACCTCTCCCCCCTCCGCTTTGGCGTCAGCGTCCTCATGTCTAATATAGGTCTATGGTGCCTGCATTAGATGTGATGACATCAGCAGTCCCTTAGATCACCAGAGGGAGGGGAGTACAGGCTACAAGGGCCGGTCCATCAGCCCGGAGGGAGCTGGTGGGAATGAGGATCAGGTAAGTAAACTACCTCATTCCTATCTTCTAGACAGAAATGAGCACTTAACCCTTGAAGTGCAGGGATAGCCCCACTGCAAGAGTAGTTTTTAGGATTTGCTCTGGGATTTATGCATCAGTGTCACAGTTATATAAACATCACCTTTGCGGAGAACAATGCAATAAAGTGTTTCACAAAGTATAAAGAATCGGTATTTGCACCTGCTCTGATATACTGCAAAATAATACAAACCTTGAACTCATAAACTCAAGTTATCAAATAGTAAATTCCTGCTACAAACACTTTAAATATTTCTCTTTTGAGATTTCTTGTCATGATAAATCGAATAATTACAATGTATAAATAAAGACTGTTCATCAAACTCACAAGCTTTCCCTTCCAGAAACAGCGAGAAGACACTAGAAGAAGCGTATCTGTTCTCCAACAGGTCCAAGGAAAGTCACACCATAGTGGGTGTAGTGTGATGGTGACATGACACCTTATCATGATGTCTTCTCTGAATTTAGAACCTCTGCATGTATTTCTGTGTCTAGGGAGGCTGACTCCCACAAACACAAATAAAGCTGACAGTGGATGTGTTGCAAAGCTTTGTATTCTCTAAGTCTGATACAAAATATTTCTCTATAGGTTACCTATGATGAGTGTTGAAACATGTTGTATTAGGACTTATGTCCCCCTACTTGCAATAGGCAATTTGTTTAAAGGCTTACCCTACTTTTTGGACCATGTTTCATGTTACACCCATAATCAGGGTGTAACATAAAACATGGTCACATCATCAAACCACTATCCCACCCTACTAACCTGAATTGTGGGACTTCTTCTCCCTGCAGCCACCTGTCATAATTGGAATTTGACATCATACACTCACAGATCCTTTGATAGGATCTGTAAGTGGAGAGACTACAAGTTCTAACTGCGGCAGGGGATCTTGTAGTTCTCACAGGAGTACAACTGCGGTGACATCTTACTTCTTCCTGTCATACTTCCTCCCGTCCCTTAGCTGAAAGTCTGGACTGAGGTACCGACAGGGACAGGGAGGAAGAATCTGCAGGAGCTTTGCTCCCAGGATCTACTGATCGCAGTTGCATTGCCTTGGAGGCTTAAATGCAAAGAAAAGTTAAATGCCCATTTTTTTCTTTTATTAATGTGTGTATTTCATTATTTATTTTGCATTATGGACTATGCCTTTAACATTTGCCCATACTGTACAATGCCCATATCGTCGATTACTGTCACAGCACAAAACATTGCCTTTATAGTCACCACAGGCACCAAGCGGGCACCCATTACAGAGCAAAGGAACAAGGTTTAATCAGTAGAAAGGGTTCTTTACTGCAAAATCTGTAAAACTGTGTAACAGTCTTCCACTGGAACTGATTCTTACAAATGCCCTACAAGAACAAAAGATAAAGATTTTGCAATACTTCAAATACTCAGCAGAATACTGATTCCAGGGTTCATCCCGTCACCATTACAGGACAAGAAGGTATGCTTCCCTGTACAGCACATTGGTCATAGTTTATTAGGGGGTCTTCCTTCCCCTACATGGTTGGATCACATAGGGTTTTATGATGACACAAGGTCCTTTTTTTCACATTATCAAGAGTCAGTCCACCCAACACTTATATTAAATCCTAGAGTATTAAACCACCGGGGAAGGGGCACTACTTTAATTTTTGGCACTGAACACCCAAAGCAGCCAAAAGGACAGGAACTAGGACAGGGAGATATCTCTGCCGGAGTAGCCAAGACATATCAGAAGCCAGGGACTGACTAGCCCACTAGGCTTTATCTAGAGGTAAAATATCTCTTTTGGGAGGTGGACTAACCATTTGAGATTGAACTGGACATGTTTTTGTTTCCCAATCCCTAAATATCTATGTACCAGCTTACATTTAATGAGCATTTATATAAGATCTAAATAAAAGAAAGGCACTTGAATAGAGAGCACTAGATGTCACCACATAGGTATTGAGACAAGCTAGTGTCATTGTTGCCTACCAAGTGACTTAAAAAAGTAGACAGACTTTAATCTCCAATAGTGGGCAGGAAGAGCAAACCTATGTCATTCACCAGCTGCGCTACTCAGAGATGCTCATAATGCCACATATGTAAGTGAAAGAGAATTAGAAAACAGCAATTGTTAGAGTACAAGGATGCCTCCAGTCCATTCAGACACAATCTAATGCAACGTTCCCAAGAGATCAGTTCTAATAGCTTAATAACAGGTAGACTGCAGTTCCTGGGCAGATAAGCCGTCCTCCGCTGTCCTGGGATGTGGTGTGAATACGAATGCATGCTGTCTCCATAGACGCTGTGCTGATCCATCAGCAGTATCAGCAGCCCCATCCCTGCCCATCACAGCATCCCCATCCCTGGTCATCACATCACCCCCATCCATGGTCATCACATAATACCTATCCCTGTCCATCAGATCATACCCATCCATGGTCATCAAAGCATCCCCATCCCTGGCCATACAACATTCCTGTTCCTGGCCATCACAGTATACCCATCGATGAGCATGACAACATCTCCATCCCTGGCCATGACAACATACCCATCCCTGGCTATTACAGCACCCCATCCCTTTGCCACAACAACATACCTATTACTGGTCATCACAGCTTCCCCATCCCTGGCCATCACACCATAACCATCTCTGGCCATCACAGCACCCCTATTCCTGGCCATAACAGCATCTCCATAGCTGAGCGTCCCCCATCCCCTCTCCCAGCCTGAATATTGGGTGTGTGAGGCATTCATGTACTGGGAGGACCAGGCTGACATTTCCCACCACCTTCAGCACAACTTTCACTCTTTATTCCTCACGAAATCTCCAATAAGGCACGTAAACAGCCCACGACATTGGGAGCTATAGAGGAGGCAGGACAGAGATGTCTGTACCAAGGAGCCCGTACAGCGACATGATTGCACAAGGGATGCTCTCTGCTTACCGTCCTAGCTCGGACTCCAGCTCGTAGTAATGGGCCAAGGTGTCCTTGTTGGAGCCATCGATCCAGTAATCGGCTGCAGCGCTGGCTGACCTGGAGGAAGTAGAGGAGGTAGAGGAGAAGGCTGTGGAAGAAGAGGAAGACGACGAAGACGATGAGGGCAGAGTGACTTTCAGCATCTCGGGAAGATCCAGGAGCACAGGGCTGCCAGGAGGGGACTGACACAGGAACAGTGAGCCCAGATCCCTAATCAATAGAGCGCAGATCGCAGCCAATGGAGCAGCTGGAGGAGGAGGAGGCAGGATCACTGCGTGCCCGGGTACCTCCGAAATGCATGCTGCGCGACAGAGGCAGCTGTGACATCGCTACAGACGTGCACCGTCCCGCACTGGCCACTAGGTGGCGCTGTACTCGGGCAGGACTTTCCATTGCTGAGTCCACTTGCAATGAAACAAGATCATTTCTTGCTGCCCGCAGCAACCATACCGAATCCGGTTTCTATTCTCAGCATGAGCTGCAAGACATGTTCCTGTTAGCACACTTGTCACAGATTTGCCTCGTATGTAAAAAGTGAGACCATTCACAGCTCTCAGCTTTCTGAAGTAAGAAAAAGGGATACCATTCAGCATAGATGTAGGGGAACACCAGACCAGGACACCTCAAAGAATTGATATGCAAAATAAAGTAAACCATTCCTCCCCCCCCCCCCCCCCCC